TTCGCTAGACGACGTTTTTTCTTCTGTGCTGGGGACGTGATTGAGGTCAGAGCTGTCCACACTTGGCCGTAATTGCCGTCAGATACTTTTCGCAAAGTGCTACCAGTTGTGTGAGTATATGCCCTGAGGACCGAAATCCGCTGTTTCGCCGCTGATGTGCAGGTTGGCAGGTGAGTGTAGCTGCAGACAAAGCGCCTCGCTCCGGTACTCTCCGAATGTACAAAACGAGACGAGAATGAATCCTCTGCTAGAACAGTGAACCATACATCGCCGCATTTTTTGTCTTTTCTGCATCTGGTGAGTAGTGGAGCGAGGCCCAAATAAAAAAAGGAGGAAGAACTTCCTCCATATCCTGTTGCTGCGGAGGTCTTGTGGTGGGCAGCTTTTTGGGATCATCATTTTGTTGTCGCGCGGGGGCTGCAGATCCAGCCGACGACTCTCCCCGGGCGACTCCTGCCGCTCGACGGTTCCTGTCAAGCCAAGCCGGGATTTCGCTTGCGGTCGCGATCGCCCTTCCTCGGCGGATGATCAGGTTGGTGTACAGCCCATTCGCCATCGCCCTCACCTGTTTCTTCTTTCATCATCCCGACTTCCACTATCGCCCCTCCTCCGTCTCCGCCTCCTTCTCCTCCTCCTTCTCCTCCTCCTCCTCCTAGTGCTGCTGCTGCTGTTGCTGCTGCTGCTATTACTACTACTACTGCTACCGCTACTGCTACTACGACTACTCCCGACTTATAGCTCCTCCTCCTCCCCCTCCTCCGCTTCCTTCTCCTCCTGCTGCTACTACAACTACTACTACTACTACTACTACTACCACTACGACGACTATTGCCGCTGCTACTAGTACTACTACTACTACCAGCTTTCATTATCGCTCCTCCTCCTCCTCCTCCTCCTCCTCCTCCTCCTCCTACTACTACTACTACTACTACGACTACTACGACTACTACTACTACTCCCTTCCCTTGAATATAACGCACCTTCATCTACTACTACTACTACTACTACTACTACTACTGCGACTACTCCCTTCCCTTGAATACAGCGCACCTTCATTATGGCTGTACCGGACTGGAAAGATAGCTTGTATACGTTCATTATCAGGGTTCGTTATGTTCGGTGGAAGACGGTAATACTATGTCTACCTTCTGTTCTTACCTTTCTTCATGCTTTCGTGTGATCTTGTCCCCCACCCATTTTCTCTCTCTTACTACTGTCTTCCCCCGAATAGACGTCCGGTGATTATCGATGTATCTACTTCGAAAGTTGCCCCAAATCCATAATCAGGCAATAATGACCTTACGTACGTACGATTTGGGGGAAAACGGTATTCAGATTCATTGCCCCATGTCCGTACCCGTGAACAGGCAGACAGCCACGCGCACAGACAGGCAGGGGACGAACAGGCAGGGGATAAACAGGCAGGGAGATAGACAGAGAGATGACAGAGGAAGGTAGAAAGGGATAAAGATTTTCTCTTCCCTTATTTCTCTCTCTCTCATATATACATCCACGTGGGCGGCCTTGTACGCAAGAGGTTCTGAACAGGGGGAGTTATAAGGAAGAAGATAAAAAACTGAATTCATTTTCTCCTTTTTTTCTTTTTTTCTTTCTTTCGCATTTGCGCTCTGATATTTATGTGATGATATATATGGTCACAGATCCACACACTCAGAGCACATTTAAAAGGCTAATTTGTGTCTATTATCACGGAGCTACAAACTAGGAGCGCACCCATATCTCGCAGAGCTATAAACTAAGAGCGCTTTTTTTTTTTTTTTTGTGTGCGTGTGTGTG